GTGAAGAATATTATATTTACAAGATATCTGGCACAATACAAAAAAACTGTAGAAATAATCAACGAACTTCGTGCAGATATCATAAAAAAATTTCCCAACCACTTTTCCCCTGCTGCTTTTACTACCCCTTCGTTTCTCTGAGGGCTTCTCTAGCTTGAGAAAACGTTCTTGAATTCACATCAGAGCTCTTACAGTCAAATGTTAAAAGAAATAAGGGACCTCGTGTTCTTCATTTTACAATGTGCAACTTTAGCTCCAAGGGTCGGTTTTTGATATTGTCAAATAGACAAATGTGTCGTAAAACAGGAAGCAACACCGCAGTTGTACAGGGGAAATTAAATCAAGACCTACTGTACAACCGACTGTGGTCTAAATGGGCTGCACATACGCTGAGAACTGGAGTTGGGTACAGATCTGAAAGACTATATGAAGACACACTCATGAACCTTGTCACGCTATGATGGTTGGGTGAACTTTGCATATGGAGGTCACGTATTAATTTTTGCCTCTTTACTGCCAGACATCCAAACCATAACGTCCATTTTAGTTTGGAGGATCACCATAAGAAAATGATTCAGGCCGGAAAAAATGCAAAATCGATTGTAGTTTAAGATATTGAGGCGCAATTAAGCAAATCCAAGCTGGAAAAGCTGCATCTGGATTCGCCCAATACTAGGCCTTAGGAAAATGGCCTCGTTCTGCGGTCTCATTGTTTATCCGACTTTGTGCGCCCAAAAGGAACATCTGGAGCCCCTTCTGCAGGGTCCGTTTATTAAAATCACCGCGTAAAAAAACAGAAATATTTTACATAAGCAAATGTATCTATAATATAATATTTGCGGCCGCCGTTTGCGTGAGACGTGCCTGCATGAAAGGAACACAGAGTGCAGACGTCGTTTCCCAGCACGAGTAAACAAAACCAGTAGAGTAGAGTATGGCAGACGAAGAGGGGGAGGGCGAAAAAAACGGAAGCAACCGTCGTTTCAGAAAGCTCACAGCCCAAACCCGAAGGTCACGCCCTCGCCTGGCTGGCAGCCGGCGATGCCGAAAGCTCGTTGGGAGATGCAGGCGCAAGGACCAGAGCCACCCGCTGCTGCTCGCTCTTCGAGATGGACGGGTCAGCTCTCGTGCCGCCAATGACACGCGGGCAAGGGAGGTGGAACAACGGCGATGAGCAGCGTGTCTGTAAACTCGTTAAATCTGCTCAGCAGGTATTGGCCGGCTGCTGAATTCTGGGTGCTCTGACGGAACTCGGTTGGTCTCTGGGCGGGGGTGGATCAAAACCCTATCAATCAGATTCATGGCAGCAAACAGCAAAGAAACCAAGTATGCCTGGCCTGGGGTTATACACTGCTGCTAAATGTAACACCTATTTTGTTTATTATTGTGTTAAAGATCCCTTTCCCTGATGGATGGTTGCAATTCATCACAGGCTTCTACAGCCTGTTTTGCCGTGCTTCTCTCCAGCTACAAACTGACGTGTGTGTCGACGGTGTCCTGGGTCACCGCAAGACCCACAAAAACTCCATCCCCCTTTCCTGACCCGGATCACAACACAAGAGACTTAATGCCGCGGGTAGAACAGTGACTCTCCATCCCTTTTTCAAGCAGTAACTATGGAGGGCAACGGTAACGTGGGGGAAGAGTCCCTCTTGATTCAGATTTCCCTTGAGTGAATTGGTCCAGCTGGTGGGGAGAGAAGCTTCAAAGGATGTTGTCCTGTGATCTGCAGTTTTCAAAGACTATCACAAATACTGCGGAGATGCATGAGCTGCTCATCATCGATTTGATGGAAACACAATAGAAATGAGAGTAGGGGACAGGCCCAGGAAGGATATAGGTACATGGGTAATGGGAGAGGTATGGATATGAAACCCTCCAGCTGATACCAGCTACTACAGGCTTAAAACCATGCATCTGGGCTACAGAGGCACCACAAGAAGAGAAAGTGTTCCTCTCCTCTGATCCTCATGGGTTACAGCCTGTAAGGCCTTATTGCTCTCTTTAAAGTGGAACTGCAGTCCCAGTTTCTAGGACCGGTTATTACATTTCAGTATACATACAATCAGTGATGTTACAGAAAATCTTTACAAATTTCGAATTAAGCACAAAATTGTAAACTTTGTAAAAGTACTGTAAGTCGCCATGTTGTTGTAAAACCTTGGTCTCTCCACAAGCGAGAGCGATAGTTCCTACCAATTGTGACGTGATGGGGCCCTTCCCGCTCACTAGTCACTGTAATGACTAATGTAATGTGATGTACAAGCGAATAGGTACAGGTTATGCAGCAGATATTTCACTGCAGAAATGGTCCAACGTGAAATGCATGCAGAGTTAACAAATAAGTGGTGTTGGTTAGCAAAACTCAAGAAGTTGAGAGCAATATTTCTGATACATGGAAA